TCCACTAGTTCTTGTGCCTGATTTTCTGATGGTTGCTCCAGCGATGCCCATTTGCGAAGAGGCTTTTCGATTCGCAGGCCGAAATAAGAGGCCTGGACAAGAGAGTCATGCGTCAACCGGCTGCTAGGGCATTTCTAAACGACAAAGGCAGAGTACGCCTTTAGCAGATACAAGACTTTCACAGCTTATTCAAGCTTCACCGCCTTGCAAGCGAAAACTCGGACGGTATGTTCGTATAATGAATACGATTTTACTTATTCATATACTAAAACCCGTAGGAAAAAGTATATCGAAATACATTAACACATGAAGCTGCCTTACACTGAGCTCAGTCCTTGGTCCACACTGACTGGCATCTGCCCTCCAGGGTTTCTTTCCGTGTCCTACTTAGAGACGCTATTGATTGAATCTGGGATGCAAAGTGTATCTAGAGCTTTGGCCCTTCCCGGTGTGGAGATAAAAACTGATGCCTCCACCTACTTTCATTAAACGTTGTGGTAGGATAATACACTACTGCCCTGGTAAGGGAGAACTCTCACAATGCAGCATCAGTTGCACCCACTCACTTGGTCTCTGCAGTCTTAGTGCTTCATAGTCACACCTCCCTCACAGTAATTGACTACAACTTCTGAATTGCCAAACAATTTCAAGTGCAACATCATGCCTCACATTTCCAGTTTTATTCAATAGATTCCCTTAATTGAACTGAGAATTATTACATTTCTACACCAACAGCCAAAGCTCTCCTGCAGCACAGCCTTGACAGGTGTGAGCTAGATTATTTAATAAGCAAAGTTTGATTTTTCTTTTCAGAGCTTCTAGCCTCAGAGACTCATAAAGTCTAATGCTCATTCTACAAAAATGCATCTTACCTATGAAGAAAAATATAAATCCTGCAACAAGTAGTGCATAAGTATGATTTCATAACTTTAGCAGTAACAGTAACTTTAGTAAAGGTAAAGGTTTCCCCTTGACGTTAAGTCCAGTCATGCCTGACTCTAGGGGGCGGTGCTCATCTCCATTTCCTAGCCGAGGGAGCCAGCGTTTGTCGGCAGTCTCCGTGGTCATGTGGCCGGCATGACTAAACACCGAAGTGCACGAAACGCCGTTACCTGCCCACCAAAGTGGTACCTTTTTATCTACTTGCATCTGCATGCTTTTGAACTGCAAGGTTAGTAGTTCAAGCCAATAATCTATCTTTTAAGATCCAAAAAGTTGCAGTGCCCCACAAGTATGTAACACCTCAATTGTTTTGGTGCCTAAACACACACACACACACACACACACAGAACCCCAAGAGGGGAAAATAAAAATTGCATATGAATGTGTTCAACCTCAGGAATTATCCATGCTTCTGTAATGAATTCAAGTCCTCTACAACAAATGTTCACCATGTGAAAACCAAGTTAATGGAAAAGTAGTAGCAAGGGAGTTGAAGGAAACATCAAAACTGCAAAGGGATTTAATAGTGAAAATTCTGTACAACTGGTTTTCATAAATTTTGCCAAATTTCTCATCTTATGAATACCAGTAACAGTGCAGTCCTTTACATATCTATTGAGATGTCAATCTTGTTGAGTTCAGAGATGCTTACTCCCAGTAAGTACATGTAAGGCTGAAGTTTGAAATCACAACTGCTCAAGAGTTCCGAGCTATCTTGCTCTTTCAGGCAGAGCATAGGATAGGCAGGCTGTTCTGCATTCAGTACCCACCACCTAACCTGTACCCTACTAGCAAGAGCCAGGCAAAGCGAGAAAGAAACAATTTTACTTTTGGTTAACATTCAAAAAGCAGCAAGGCAATACTATGAGCATATGTAAGCTTGCTTACATTTCACTGGACAGGAAGGAAATCAGAAAATCACAGGGTACCAAGGCCTCTCCTCTACCCACCCACTAGCAATCCCTCTTTTTTCCCCTTTCACTCATCTCTTGACCTCATAACAACAGGTATCCACAGCAGCTGAGGGAACAGGAGGAGATCCAGCCATCAATCTTCTCTCCCCATATTTGTATCTCTCTTTCTATGAGCATGGAAGGGATCAATGGCACACAGGATTGTTTTCTAAGTATCCTGAGTTGCAACCCATACCTGATTATCTGGAGGTAAACCACACTGAACAGCCCAGAGAGCTTCAGCTATTGAGAAGTGAGATAAAATACTGAGTTCAGAGCAGTTTACTTCTGAGTTTGCAAGAGTAACTGTTCCTTTTCTGTTGAGAGGAAGAGTCTTCATGAGTGAATATTCCTGTTGCTATTCAGCCATGCTTAACAACGCTAAGAGCAAGCAATCCAACATTCAAAGCTAGTGGTGTTCTTAAACAGAGAGGAAATAAAGTTCAACTTTGTGGATGGGAAAAGGAGGAGCGAGCAAGCCTGATTACAGTGTTGCAAGGGAAGGCCTCATCACTTTAAACATAGTATCTATATAGTGACCTAATTTTAGTTTGATGCAGAAGAATATCCCAGCACATAATTGCTAAGTTTCAAAGCTTCTTCCCTATATTTCAACCTATCATTAAAATACAACCACATTCCAATGAAAGATTTTTCAGACAGTAATTGGTAGCCTACTTATAAGCATTAGAAATCTAATATAGTATCTGTATCAACAGATTAAAGCAAATGCCTCAGGTCCAGACCCAAAGAGTTATTTCTGATCTCAGTTACTCCTAAATAAGGGTAAGGAACACACCAGTAGATTGCAGGAATCTTTTAGAATTACCACCAAGCTGTAAAGAAGCTGCTGTTAGAAGCAATGCAGCCCATGAGTCTACTGTAGCAATACACAGGTAAAATATTTAAGTAAATCATTTTGAAATTGTTGTATGTTCTAAAGAGTGCTAAGAAACAAGTGTGTTCTGATATAATAGCTCCATTATGCTCTATGGACTTTCCAAGTTCTGGAATAAAGGGCACTTAGCAACCATAAAGAAAGCAGCTTTAAGAACAAGGAAGGTACCAAGGGAAAATGACTGATCAGATATAGCATTTTAATAGCTTATCCTCAGAACAGCTACATTCATATATATATATATATGTGTGTGTGTGTGTGTGTGTGTGTATATACACACACACCTCCTACTCTACAAAGGAGTCCTGACTTTCCTGGTAAAGAGGAAAATCAATGAACACATTGCATTATACTGGAGAAACACTTTCAGGTATCTCATACTCCTAATACAGTGGCATTTGGTTAGACACCGTGAGAATGGTGAACTAGATGGGTGTTTGTCTGCCCCAGCAGCATTTTTCATATGACAAACAACCTAGGTGTCTACTAATACTATGAAGAATACCACTGCAAGACAATGACTGTGCCAGCTCATATTATACAGGCCCAGCATCTGGGAAATTCTTATACCAGTAGCCTTCTTATATCTACATGGATGCTATCTTTCTGAGAGAATAACTTAGGGCAAGTCTGCTGTATTAAAGGTCCTCTGGAGGAAAAAACTACTCTCAGAAAAGCTGTTTCTACTGTACTGTACACTAGGGACAGCACGAAGTGCTTAGGGGCTCTTGGCCACTTGTTGTGCAGCCAACTCCTATCCTTCCTCTTACTGGGTTTGCCCCTTTTCACTCCCTTGTCTAAAGATAGGCAGTGAAAATTGTTGCTTGCCATCACCACCAAAAACCCATCCAAGCAATCAGATGGTGACAACCTGACAGAGGAAGAAAGCAAATGACCAATATGAAGAAGTAGTGGCAGCTCTTATCTGCTGTTGCTGCTCACTTGTTATTCCACCAAGCAGCACTGTTGACCAAGGACATGACTTACTGCTGCTTGATCATCTGCTCTCTTTTTAGCAGAAGCTACTAACAACTATCTCAACTGTCAATTTAGCAAGACATGCACAAGCATATCTTCCCTCTTGCTTTTTCAGCAGAGGTGGGAGATTGTGAATGCAAACTGTGGTACAGATATACCTGAAAGATTGGAGCCTGCACATCCAAGTGGGTGATGCAAATAGCAGCTTCTCCATCAGAAAAGCAAGGAGAGTCCTTGAGAACTGTCCACATCCCCCTGCTGATGCAAGTAATAATGCTGGCTAGGAAAAGGCACTGCTCCTTTTCAGAAGCAATAGCAGCTGCCCTAGTAGTCATCACAGTTCACTGGCAGACCACAGTAAGAAAACACGGGCTGCAGCTACCTCTGCATTAGAGATGTACATTATCAGGCTAGGCCACAACCAACCTCCCCTTAGACATATCCATTAGGCCACCATCCCTGTCTCTACACGGCAGCAGTAAAAAGGGATTCAACTCACACTCTCCTCCACCTAAGTGGACTTGTGAAGATTCCACTTCTTCCACCACAGAAACAGAAGAAAGTTGCAGCTCGCAAGAGAAGGGGCAGTCGGGCAAGGGTGAAAAGTAATTTTTAGTCACCATTACCCCTTGCGAGAAATACAGCTGCCCTCTATTGCTCAGTCACGTTTTCCCCCGTTCAGAACCGCTCATTCACTGCTTGCGGGCCGGCAAAGATGATCGATGGGCGTAAGAAACCGTTTCCAGTGTCTTACCTCCTAACCAGAGGAGCAGATGCGAGGAGAGATGCCTCCACTGGACAACACATTTTAAAAGCACTCTCAAACCCTGCAGCTGCCGCCGCCGCCGCCGCCGCCCACCCGCACAACAGAGATGGAGGGGCGAGGATGGAGAAGTGAGGCCTAGCTCCGTGCACAGCGCCTATGTCTGCGTTCCACTCAGTGAGCGGCAGAAAGCCTTCGGCCGCTACCCAACACCGCCGTTGCCTTAGGCCACCACTCCGGCGCCCGTGCTTCTTGGTCCCCGACGCCCCCACGGCGACAGACATTTGATTCAACGGGGGAGCACTTGTGCTTTCGAGAGGCAACCGAAGAATCGGGGCGGAAATACTAATCGGTCGGAGCCAGACCGCGCCACGGCAACGGCCTTTTCTCATACTCTGTACTTGCGTAGCGCTCACCGGCGCCTTCGCACACCCTCGAAGGTAATCCTTTACGAAGGGGCACTTACCTAGGCCAAGACTGGCCAAGCGGTAGGGTAAACCTTGGGCCGCTCCTTAGCGGGGTTTGAAATCACCAACGCAGGCCACACCTCCCAATATCCTTTGCCGCTGTTGGTTGCCGATAAGTCCGCCCTCTTTCCCAACCAGAAAATTTATTGGGTAGTTTGAATCCGGCAGCTGCGGGCGCGTTTTTATGAGAGGGGAGTGACTTCTCGTGCCCGCCCGACCGAGGGCTTCTGTCCCTTGGAGCAGGTGCTTTCAGGTCTCCGAGGCCGCCTCTTTAATCCGACCCGGAAGTTGTCGCGCCCTACCGCTTTGTGTTAGCAGAGAGCACAGAAAACCGGAGCAGGGCGAGGCGTACCCGAGCAGTGTTTAGTTCCTCACGGCCACTTTATGATGGCCGCCTTTCCCACGCTTTTTCCTGACACGGTATGTAGGCTTTTAGGTGTCGCGTCAAAGGCACACATTCAGGCGATGCAGTGTTTCTGACATGGAGGTGGCATAGTAAGAAACGCTTTACCCCTTGTTTCTAGCCAGTTGGACGTGGGAGTGGTGCTTGTTTGAAAGCCCAGTGATAAGGGCAAGATACTCATTTATAATTAAAATTTCCTTGTTCAACAGTTTGTAAGAACATTAGATGTACCAGAAGCTGGATGGGTGCAGGATGCTGACTTCCAGACCATAAACATTCTACCAGCAGAAGCCAATACACCCGAAAACTCAAGCATTGCTGGAAAAAAGAATGGGAGATCATTTGAGGCAGAAAAATATGATTTTGGAAAAGTGGGATTTCACACACCCCCTCACCCTGCCTTGAAACTTGCAAGCCATCTTTAAACAAGCATTGTGAGAACAAATTATAACCTGGCTAAATTGCTTATTCCAAAATTCATTATGCCCCCAAAGAAGTATCTCTCGTGGGGGGGAATAGGCTTAGTACTCGAAAACACTGAGTGCATGAGCCCACTCTATACATTTTTACTGGAATTTTTATTTGGAATGGGGATGCTCTCAAACATTAAGAACATAAGGTCCTTGCAGGATCAGACCAAAGAACAGCATTCTGTTCACATAATTACTGGCAAGCACCTGAGGAAAACCCGCCTGTAGGACATGAGTACAATAGATTGTTCCTAGTCATGTTCCTCTGTAACTGGTATATATTGCCATACTGCCTCCAATACTGGAGTAAATAGTAATAATTGATAGCCATATCCTCCATGAATGTGTCTAATCCCCTAATTCATTCACACTTGGTGACCATCACTCCATCTTGCTGAAGTGAATTCCGTAGTTTGATTATGTATTGTGTGAATTAGTACTTCCCTTAATCTGTCCTGAATCTTTCCATTAGCCTCACAGGATGACAGTAGGTTCCAGGATTATGAGAAAGGGAGAAAAGTTTTTCCCTGTCCACTTTCTCCACATCATGCATAATTTTGTACACCTCTTATTATGTCATCCCTTGCTTGCCTTTTTCCCCCTAAGCTAAACATCCCAAAGCATTCCCCATAAGAGAGTTGATGTGGCTGCTGATAATTTTGGTTGAGCTTTTTCATTCTTTCACAAAGCAGAAAGCTGACTCAATCTACTAATTTTAGTTTAACTTTTCCTACACTCATCCGACTGGTTCAGACTGTAATGGGGCAGCTTAGTTCAGCTGCCTTTCCTTTCTTCTGTGTGGTCCTCCATTGCCTTCATGCATGCCCACACGTATTCAAAATTCGAGCTGTTCTGAGCAAAAGCAATAAATAAAAAAGGAAGAACGTGAAATAGAGTACAGGAGAGTTCTCTTCCCCCGCACGCCAAATTATGAGTGAAGAAAAAAAGAAGGGAGAGGGCATTGTTGGGCAATGCAGTGAAATGGGAGGGGCAAATTTATAAAAGAGCCCAAGCCTAAACACAACCTCTTATTGTCCTCTCGTCGCCAGAGAGACTTTCCAGCAGTCTTTCCCGTCCAATCCTTTCTGCCCTCCTCGGGTCTGCAGAGCTTAGAGTGGCGATTCGGGTGACCAATGGAAATTCGCAAAAGGCCAACCCTTGCTATGCAGCAGCCAATCAAGAGACAAAAGGCTGGGCTTCCATGTTTTCGCATTAACCATTTCCGTGTCTGCTACAGCCGTGTTAACAACATTACAAAAGAGTTGCTTAATTTGAAATTAAAAGGACTACCACCCGCACTATTACAAGGTCCGCGGTTCTTTCAGTGTAGGACACAGAAAATCAGATATGTCTTAACCCAGTGGTGACAATGGGAGGCTATGCTAAGGGCCTACCTAGTTTTACAAGAGGAGAGAAGAAGGGAAGCGGGCCTCCCCTCTTCTCTTATTTCTCCTACTTCAGTGATGACAATCAGGGTGCAGTCCCTCTCCAAGACTCCTGAGTAACTTAGTCATGGGATAAGAAAAGAACTTATGCACGAATTAACCGGGTTGCTCTGTGTTACTATTACTGGAAATTATTTTAAACTATATATAAAAATGTTAATGTCATTGTAATATTTATACACATATTGCTCAGATCTTATTATACTTACTGGCATATCATTATTACACCTAAATAATAAAAAGAACAGAAAGTAAAGAGCAGAAATAAATGGACTGTTCTCAAACATGAATATTGTAAACACTGGAGCCTCCAAAACCTTTGCATTGCAATTTGTGTTTTAAATTTCTTCGTAAAGTTGTACACTTGAGGGAGATGGGAATGTGTGACTCAGCTGGTAGTCCTGGCTGTTTTCAGCAGCCTTTGGTACTGTTGTTGTTAGTCATGAAGTCGTGTCTGACCCATCGTGACCCCATGGACAACATTCCTCCAGGCCTTTCTGTCCTCCACCATCCCCTGGAGTCCACTTAAGCTCACACCAACTGCTTCAGTGACTCCATCTAGCCAACTCATTCTCTGCCATCCCCTTCTTCTTTTGCCATCTATTGTTCCCAGCATTAGGCTCTTCTCCAGGGAGTTCTTCCTTCTCATTAGGTGGCCAAAGTATTTGAGTTTCATCTTCAGTATGTGGCCTTCTAAAGAGCAGTCAGGATTGATCTCCTCTAGGACTGGCCGGTTTGATCACCTTGCGGTCCAAGGGACTCGCAGGAGTCTCCTCCAGCACCACAATTCAAAAGACTCAATTCTTCGGCGTTCAGCCTTTCTTATGGTCCAGCTTTCACAGCCATACATTGTAACTGGGAAAACCATAGCCTTGACTATGCACTTTTGTTGGCAGCATGATGTCTCTGCTTTTTAGTATGTTGTCTCGATTTGCCATAGCTTTCCACCCCAGGAGCAAGCGTCTTTTAATTTCTTGGCTGCAGTTCCCGTCTGCGGTGATCTTGAAGCCCAGGAAAATAAAATCTGTACCTACCTCCATTTCTTCCCCATCTATTTGCCAGGAAGTGAGAGAACCAGATGCCATGATCTTAGTTTTCTTAATGTTGAGTTTCAAACCAACTTTTGCGCTCTCCTCCTTCACCTGCATCAAGAGGCTCTTTAGTTCCTTTTCACTTTCTGCCATTAGAGTGGTATCATCTGCATATCTGAGGTTGTTGATATTTCTCCCAGCAATCTTAATTCCAACTAGTGATTCATCTAGCCCCGCTTTCTCATGATGTGCTCTACATATAAGTTAAATAGGCGGGGCAACAGCATACAGCCTTGCCGAACTCCTTTCTCAATTTTGAACCAATCAGTGGTTCCGTGTCCAGTTCTCACTGTTGCTTCTTGACTCGCATATAGGTTTCTCAAGAGACAAATAAGATGGTCTGGTACTCCCATCTCTTTAAGAACTTGCCACAATTTGTTGTGATCCACACAATCAAAGGCTTTAGCATAGTCAATGAAGCAGAAGTTGATATTTTTCTGGAACTCCCTAGCTTTCTCCATGATCCAGCATATGTTGGCAATTTGATCTCTAGTTCCTCTGCCTCTTTGAAATCCTGCATGTACTTCTGGTAGTTCTCGGTCCACATACTGCTGGAGCCTAGCTTGTAGAATTTTGAGCATCACTTTGCTAGCATGTGAAATTCTTTGAACATTCTTTGGCATTGCCCTTCTTTGGGATCGGAATGTAAACTGACCTTTTCCAATCCTATGGCCACTGTTGAGTTTTCCAAATTTGCTGGCATATTGAGTGTAGCACTTTTACTGCATTGTCTTTCAAGATTTTGAATAGCTCAGCTGGAATATTGTCTCCTCCACTAGCTTTGTTGTTGTTCAGACTTCCTAAAGCCCATTTGACTTCACATTCTAGGATGTCTGGTTCGAGGTCAGTGACCACCCCATCGTGGTTATCAGGGACGTTAAGCTCTTTCTTGTATAGTTCTTCTGTGTAATCTTGCCACCTCTTCTTAATCTCTTCTGCCTCTGTTAGGTCCCTGCCATTTTGGTCCTTTATCATGCCCATCTTTGCATGAAATGTTCCCTTCATATCTCCAATTTTCTTGAAGAGATCTCTGGTTCTCCCTATTCTATTGTTTTCTTCTATTTCTTTGCACTGTTCATTTAAGAAGGCATTCTTATCTCTTCTAGCTATTCTCTGGAATTCTGCATTCAGTTGGGTGTATCTTTCTCTTTCTCCCTTGCCTTTTGCTTCCCTTCTTTCCTCAGCTATTTGTAAAGCTTCCTCAGACAGCCATTTTGCTTCCTTACATTTCTTTTTCTTTGGGATGGTTTTAGTTGCTACATCTTGTACAATGTTGCAAACCTCTGTCCACAGTTCTTCAGGCACTCTATCAGATCTAATTCCTTAAATCTATTTGTCACCTCTACTGTATATTCATCAGGGATATGATTTAGGTCATCCCTGAGTGGCCTAGTGCTTTTCCCTACTTTCTTCAACTTAAGCCTAAATTTTGCAACCAGAAGCTCATGATCTGAGCCACAGTCAGCTCCTGGTCTAGTTTTTACTGACTGTATACAGCTTCTCCATCTTTGGCTGCAGAGCACATAGTTAATCTGATTTCTGTGTTGACCATCTGGTGATGTTCATGTGTAGAGTCGTCTCTTGGGTTGTTGGAAAAGAGTGTTTGCTATGACCATCAAATTCGCTTGACAAAATTTTACCAGCCTGTGCCCTGCTTCATTTTGTACTCCAAGGACAAACTTGCTTATTATTCCGGTTATCTTTTGGC